ATAGAGGCGTATACGTTGTGGCAACAATCATACGCAACATGGAACTAAAAACATGTTTAATATCTAATTTACATTGGAAGTCTGTGTAGTATCGAGAAAAAAATAAAATTTTAAAAGTTTTTAACATTATCTCAGGTTCCTCAATGTTTCTCAACTATTATCCCTTCCCATTTTAATATCGGGTCTTAATATTTCCCAAGCAATCATTTATCAACCGGCTAAATGCCTTCACTACCAAAAAATAAATATTTTAAAATACAGCATTTAATAATATTTCATGTCCTCATGCAATTCTATTTAGTTGTCATGATTGCTCGTGCTGCTGCTTATACAAATCTCTGTCATTTGGCTCCGTTCATGAGAAGGGCAATTTATTTTTGCTCTTTTGTAGAGTCATAGCTTCTGGTCTCATTGCATGATAGCCAGATGGTAATTTGCAACATTTTCCAGTTTTTTTCTGTTTGGTTTTCACTTGCTCTTTTTTATTTTGACCTCTATCAGTAATCATGCAATTATGGACTTGACTTAATTATATATCTAATATTGACGGACATTCGTTTTGCCAAAAATGCGAAAAGGTCAATTGGACTGCAGAATGAAGTAATAACTGGGGTAAAAAAGAAAAAAAATTATAACTGCAGTAGTTAAGGAAAGGAAGGGCAAATAAAAAACTTAATAAGATTTTATTATAATAATTTCAAATATATGTCATAAAGGAGGTGTATAAGTCAGGACAAGGGCATACAATTCAGGGCATTATTTGGTTATTGAAAATATATTTGTTTTGGCGATATCAGGGGCTTATTGTTATGATTTTTGAGTTCCATAGTGCGTATAAGTATTGTCACAACGTATACGCATACCAAAAATTTCCCATAGCCTCCCATAGCGTATACGTTGTGTCACAATGTATACGCACCCAATTACTTCGATCTTTTCCATTACAAATATTTAATAATTTGTAATAAAATTCGCTATCGAAACTAGGCACGATAATCAGATTTTCTGTTTCATTTCCTGTCCGTGGTTTCCTTGGTTATTTATTGAATTAACCAGTAAGGAAAGTAGTAAAGTCGGACTGGGCCGACTATAATATACCCTTCAGCACATTGGCTATATTGTACATATGTATCCCTACAATTGTATGTCAGTATTCCCTCGAAGGAAAAAAATCAAGTCTTCCTGCAACCTATGATGAATTAAATTTTATTCGGGCAGATTTAGAGTCGTCTGTGTACCATGGGGCAACTTTATGGAAAACGATTTATAGAAAAAATGGTACACGCTATTCGGTACGCGGCACTGTTAAAAAATTAATCTCAATTAGACACCCGTTCGAAATACATATAAAAGCTATGGCTGCATCTGCACCAATTTCAACAAAACCCAATAACGCAATTAAAGTCTCAATGCGATACGTTGTGCAAAATTTCGCGTTAATCGGACAAACATTATGGGAACTATATCTAAATCTGAACCGAAATTTAACACACGTCATTCTGGACCTAATTTAGTACCATATGCCGAAATTCGTGCAAACGAAAAGATTTCCAGGGACATTGGTGCATCATATACATAAAATCGGACGAAAATATATATCGGAGCTATATCGAAATCTGAACCGATTTTCCCGAAACTTACCACACATCATTCTAGACCCAATTCAGAACACTATGCAAAATTTCGTGCAAATCGAAGGATATATAATGACTTCGATGCACTATTTACCGAAAATCGGACGAAAATATATATGGGAGCTATATCGAAATCTGATCCGATTTTTACGAAATTCAACACACATAGTTTTAGACTTAATTCATTACGCTGTGCCAAATTTCACGCAAATAGAAAGATATATAGAGACTTTGGTACACCATTTACCTTAAATCGGACGAAAATATATATGGGAGCTATATCCAAATCTGAACCGATTTTCAGGAAACTTTGCACACATCATTCTAGACCTAATTCATTACGCTGTGCCAAATTTCGTGCAAATCGAAAGATATATAGGGATTTTGGTACACCATTTACCTTAAATCGGACGAAAATATATATGGGAGCTAGATCTAAATCTGAACCGCTTTTCACTAAACTTAGCACACATCGTTCTGGCCCTAATTCAAAACTCTAAGCCAAATTTCGTGCAAATCGAAAGATATATAGTGACTTTGGTACACCATTTACCTTAAATCGGACGAAAATCTATGTGGGAGCTATATCTAAATCTGAACCGATTTTTTCAAATTTCAATAGGTTTCGTCCTTGGGCCAAATAAGTGACCTATGCCAAATTTCATCCAAATCGGATCGTAAATGCGACCTGTACTTTGCTTACAGTTTAACATCGACAGACGTACGGACGGACATGCATATATCGTCTCAGAAAGTGATTCTATGCATATTCTTGAAAGGAACCATGTGTCTATCTCGTGCCCTTTTAGAGTTCCATATGGCGTATACGTGTTGTCACAACGTATACACACACAAAAAGTTTCCCAAAGCCACCCCATAGCGTATACGTTCTGTCACAATGTATACGCACCCTATTACTTCGATCTTTCCCATTAAATATTTCATAATTTCGAATTAAATTCTCTATCTAAACTAGGCACGATAATCGGATTTTCAGTTTCATTTCCTGGCCATGGTTTCCTTGGTCATTCATTGAATAACAAAAAAACCTGTCCACCACTTCGGTCCTATTTTTTTGTGATATTCAGCCATTTAAGAGTGAATGCGAATATTTCATGAAATGTCAGAAAAAGGAAAAGCAACATTTATCACTTTGTCCTGCCCATGACATGGCATGGCATGGCAATGTTTAGCTCTAAACTGCCATGATTACAAAGCAAGCGGAAAATTCCGGTTATTTTTTTGAAGTAAAAAAAAAAAAAAAAAAAAACTGAAATGAATAACGAAAGAGTTACGTGTTTTGTTAACATTTCATGCTTTGTCAGAGAGAAATGTTTTTATTTTTCGTTTTTTTTTATGTATCTCTATATGGACTTATCAAAATATATATTCGTGTTCGGGACAGTTTATTGAAATATGAAATGAAAAAAAAAAAACATTTAAAAGGAAATGGCTTCGGCCATTTAATTTTCTGGGAAAGTAAATTTGATTAGAATATCTCGAAGTGAATTTAAATTCAAAAATAAATTTTAAAGGGTTCCGCTTTATGCTTATTTAAATATATTAAAAAATTAGATAGAGGGGCGTATAATTTTTGACAACCCTAATACGCACTCATGTACACCTATTTCAATTCTAGGAACATTTTTAAAAGGAGGCGTATAATTAATGACAACACTAATACGCACCCATGTACATCTTCTTGCATTTTTGGAATTATTCAGAATATTTTTAAAAATCCATGCCTTGAAAGACGCCTTAAAAAATCTACGCCTTGAAAGAAGCCTTAAAAAATCCACGCCTTAAAAGGATCCTTAAAAAAATCCACGCTTTGAAAGGATCCTTAAAAAATCCACGCCTTGAAAGGATCTTCAAAAAATCCACGCCTTGAAAGGATCCTTAAAAAATCCACGCCTTGAAAGGATCTTTAAAAAATCCACGCCTTGAAAGGATCCTTAAAAAATCCACGCCTTGAAAGGATCCTTAAAAAATCCACGCCTTGAAAGGATCCTTAAAAAATCCACGCCTTGAAAGGATCCTTAAAAAGCCAAGACTTAAAAGGACCCTTTAAAAATCCTCGCCTTGCCTTCAAATGATTTTTAAAAAAATCCACGCCTTGAAAGGATCCTTAAAAAAATCCACGCCTTGAAAGGATCCTTAAAAAAATCCACTCCTTATGGTAGACCCTTAAAAATATTTTTTTAAAAAATACACGCCTTATGGTAGACCCTTAAAAATATTTTTTAAAAAATCCACGCCTTATAGTAGACCCTTAAAAATATTTTTTAAAAAATCCACGCCTTATAGTAGACCCTTAAAAATATTTTTTAAAAAATCCACGCCTTATAGTAGACCCTTAAAAATATTTTTTAAAAAATCCACGCCTTATGGTAGACCCTTAAAAATATTTTTTTAAAAAATCCACGCCTTATGGTACACCCTTAAAAATATTTTTTTAAAAAATCCACGCCTTATGGTAGACCCTTAAAAATATTTTTTAAAAAATCCACGCCTTATGGTAGACCCTTAAAAGTATTTTTTAAAAAATCCACGCCTTATGGTAGACACTTAAAAATATTTTTTAAATGGTAGACCCTTATATTCTTTAAAAAATCCACGCCTTATGGTAGACCCTTAAAAATATTTTTTAAAAAATCCACGCCTTATGGTAGACCCTTAAAAATATTTTTTAAAAAATCCACGCCTTATGGTAGACCCTTAAAAATATTTTTTAAAAAATCCACGCCTTATGGTAGACCCTTAAAAATATTTTTTAAAAAATCCACGCCTTATGGTAGACCCTTAAAAATATTTTTTAAAAAATCCACGCCTTATGGTAGACCCTTAAAAATATTTTTTAAAAAATCCACGCCTTATGGTAGACCCTTAAAAATATTTTTTAAAAAATCCACGCCTTATGGTAGACCCTTAAAAATATTTTTTTAAAAAATCCACGCCTTATGGTAGACCCTTAAAAATATTTTTTAAAAAATCCACGCCTTGTTGGAGACCCTTAAAAATATTTCTTTAAAAAATCCACGCCTTATGTAGACCCTTAAAAATATTTTTTAAAAAATCCACGCCTTATTTAGACCCTTAAAAATTTTTTTTTAAAAAATCCACGCCTTGTTGGAGGTTCTTAAAAATATTTTTTAAAAAATCCACGCCTTGTTGGAGGTCCTTAAAAATATTTTTTTAAAAAATCCACGCCTTGTTGGAGGTCCTTAAAAATATTTTTTAAAAAATCCACACCTTGTTGTAGGTGCTTAAAAATATTATTTTTTTTAAATCCACGCCTTATGCTAGACCCTTAAAATTATTTTTAAAAAATCGTTTTAAAAAGTTGTTCTCTCTCTCTCTTTCTAGCTTTACAATTTCTTCAATGCTTTATTAACCCACATTCCAAATGCTGCTGCCGAAAAAAGTCGTTCATATGCTTCCTCCCGGGCTTCATCATTAGGTAGGTCAAATTTGCCCTTCGAACTTCAAACCTCTACTGAAAAAAAAATTATAATCCACAACTGATATTTCCTCTTCTCTTCCAGATCAATATGATTCCAAATATTCCGATGAATCGGATTATCACGAAGAATACGATAATTCCGGTTATCGTTATAAGGGGCCACAAATCAATTTTCCGCTGACGAAAAAGGACATTGATATCCTGATTGATTTGTTTCGCAAGAAGAAGGTGAGGGGATGGGATTTTCAGGATAACCGAATGCAACTGATTTTTATAAAATTTTTGGATTTTTCTTTAATTTCCAGTCAAATCGCCTCCATGCCCGTTATGTGGGTGCCATACTGAAGGAAGCCGCCATAAAATTGCGCACATTGCCCAATTTGAATACGGCCTCGACAGCGATTTCCAAACAGATCACCATTTGTGGTGATCTCCATGGCAAATTGGATGATTTGCTGGTGGTGTTCTATAAGGTGAGACATTTTTTGCTCGTCCAAACCTCTGGAACCTCTGCGGATCTTTGAAAAATATTCATACCCTTCACCACACTGTGGTACAGGGTATTATGTATTCATATGTTTGTAACAGGCCAAGGGAATCACGATAGACCCATGGTTCCTTTTGAGAATATGCATAGAATCACTTTCTGAATCGATTTACGCATGTCCGTCTGTCCGTCCGCCCGTCCATGTATTTTTGTGAACAAAGTACAGGTCGCATTTTTGAACCGATTTGGATGAAATTTGGCATAGGTCACTTATTTGGCCCAAGGTCGAACCCTATTGAAATTGGGAAAAATCGGTTCAGATTTAGATATAGCTCCCATTTGTATTTTCGTGCGATTTAATGGAAATGGTCCACCAGAGTCCCAATATATCTTTCGATTTGCACGAAACTTGGCATAGAGTACTGAATTGAGTCTAGAATGATGTGTGTTAAGTTTCGTGAAAATCGATTCAGATTTAGATATAGCTCCCATATATATTTTCGTCCGATTTTTAACAAATGGTGCACCAAAGTGCCTATATAACATTCGATTTGCACGAAATTTGGCACAGCGTAATGACTTAGGTCTTGAATCATGTGTGTTAAGTTTCGTGAAAATCGGTTCAGATTTAGATATAGCTCCCATATATATTTTCGTCCGATTTTTAACAAATGGTACACCAAAGTCCCTATATATCTTTCGATTTGCACGAAATTTGGCACATCGTAATGAATTAGGTCTAGAATGATGTGTGTTAAGTTTCGAAAAAAAATCGGTTCAGACTTAGATATAGCTTCCATATATATTTTCGTCCGATTTAAGGTATATGGTGCACCAAAGTCCCTATATATCTATCGATTTGCACGAAATTTGGCATAGGGAACTGAATTGGGTCCAGAATGATGTATGTTAAATTTCGTGAAAATCGGTTCAGATTTAGATAAAGCTTCGATATCTGACCAAATTAAAAACTTAGTATCGGTTGCAGAATGACATGTTTATGGATCCAATTTCATTTTACTGGTCCTCTAGGATTCATCTGTTGAATATACCCATAGTGGTGCAGGGTATCATATAGTCGGCCCCGTCCGACTTTACTACTTTTCCTTGCTGGTATTTTTTTTTTTAAATCCACGCCTTGTGGATCTTTGAAAAAAAAATATTTTTTTCAAAGATCCAAGCCTGTCGAGGATCCCTAAAAAATTATTAAAATCTGTTATCCACCTTTACAGAACGGCCTCCCTTCCTCCGAGAACCCCTATGTCTTCAATGGCGATTTTGTGGATCGAGGCAAAAAAGGCCTGGAGGTCTTTCTCCTACTGCTGGCCTGCTTCCTGGCCTTTCCCAATGGGGTTTTCCTAAATCGTGGCAATCATGAGGATTCCGTGATGAATGCCCGCTATGGTTTCATACGTGAGGTTCAGGCGAAGTATCGGGTAATTAGAGAACATAACTCCCACCCGCCCTTTGCAGGATGTCACTAACTGTCAATTTGTGTTTTTTCTTTATCTTCCGATTTTCTCATTTCCAGCGCAATTCCACCAAACTGCTGCGACTCATTGACGAAGTGTATCGCTGGTTGCCCTTGGGCACCGTAATTAACAATCGGGTATTGGTGGTGCACGGTGGGATATCGGATACAACCAATTTGGATTTAATTAAAAGTCTGGATCGGGGAAAGGTAAGTTGTTGTTGTTATCATGATGGTGTTGTTATTTTCACGATGTTGTTGTTGTTATTATCATAATGTTGTTGTTGTAATTTTTTATCACATTGTTGTTGTCAACACATGATATCCGTCCTCCATTGTCGTTATCAGTGTCCCAGTTCATTGACATTTTCACAATTCATTTAGTTTTTGTTTTTGTGTCTCCCGAATCCCTAGGTTTGTGAGGGTGATTGGCAGGGGGGAAGTTAGTGTCCTCCCTAGTTAAGGGAATTCTTTTATAATTTATTTTATTTTGTGATACTGCATTAAATGAATTTCTCCTTTGTGTCCCCTGTCCTGACGATTTTTGCTGCAGTTGCTGTTTGTTTGTTCTCTCTCCACTTTTTCCTTGGGAAAACTGTCACAGTTGTTACTGTCGTCGTCGTCTTTGTTGTCTTAATGTTCTGACTAAGCTGTAGCTGTATCAAACCGGATTCCTTGGGGACAGACAACTCATTTCGTTTCATTCTTTGGTATTTAATGCCTGGCAGGGGGTAGGTATGGAGAGTGTGTAAATTGAGAGAGAGTTAATGCTACTGACAGTTAAGGTCATTTATCTCTTATGGTGGGAAATTGGTTGTCAGCAGAAAAAAACAAGAAATATCGAAGTAATTCTGGAATGTGAAATATTTTTTCAAACAACAAAAAATTAAAAATGTTTATAAAAATACTATTTTTTAAACACGAAAAAATATTTTAAATATTTGCAAAAATAAAAATTGAAATATTTAAAAAAAAAATTGATTTTTATACCCTTCATCACACTGTGGTACAGGGTATTATGTCTTTGTGTATATATTTGTAACAGGCAAAAGGAATCGAGATAGACCCACGGTTCCTTTTAGAATATGCATAGAATCACTTTCTAAGTCGATTTATGCATGTCCGTCCGTCCGTCTGTCTGTCCATGTTAAATTGTAAACAAAGTACAGGTCGCATTTATTATTCGAATTGGATGAAATTTGGCACAGCTCATTCATTTGGTATTGGTGGTGCACGGTGGGATATCGGATACAACCAATTTTTCCCTATTGAAATTGGGAAAATCGGTTGATATTTAAATATAGCTCCCATATATTTTTTCGTCCCATTTAGGGTAAATGGAACACCAAAGTCCCTAAATATATTTCGATTTGCACGAAATTTGGCATAGCGTACTGCATAGAGTCTAAACTTATGAGTAACAAGTTTAAGGAAAATCGATCCAGATTTAGATAAAGCTCCCACATATATGTTCGTCCGATTTTATGTAATTGTTGCACCAAAGTCCCTATATTCGCACGAAATTGGGCATAGCGTACTGAATTGATTCTGGAATTAAGTGTGGTAAGTTTCGGAAAAATCGCTTTAGATTTACATATAGCTTCGACAGATATTTTCGACCGATTTTATGTAAATGGTGCACCAAAGTCCCTTTATATCCATCGATTTTCACGAAAATTGGCATAGCGTACTGAATTGAGTCTAGAATAATGTGTGGAAAGTTTCAGATTTCGATATAGCTCCCACATATACATATATATTTGTCCGATTTTACATAAATGGTGCACCAAATTCCTAATGTTTGTTTTATTAATTAAATGGCGTTATTGCGTTTTGTCGAAGGTGGCATCGATGCAGCCATAACTTCCATATGTATTTCGAACGGATATCTGATTGAAATTAAATTTTTAACTAAACCGTTTTCCACAAATTTGACCCATGGTACGCAGACGACTCTAAATCCTCCCGAATGAAATTAAATTTATCATAGGTTGCAGATAGACATGTGTATGTTCCTTCGAGGGAACATTGACATGCATGTACAAAATATCCAAAGTGGTGAAGGGTATCATATAGTCGGTCCAGTCCGACTTTACTACTTTCCTTACTGGTTTTATATAAAAAATATTTTTTTAAATTGGAATTTTTTAAGAAAAATTGTTACGTTTTCAGCCACTACGTGTGGAAAATGCGACTAAGTTCATCAAAATACCTATAAAGGGGGTGGACCTTTATATGAGGGCTATATTTATATATATTTTATGGTATGGAGATTCTATACCCAATGAGAACCGAATTTATCTAAAACCCGTATTCAAGATCTTCAAAATACCGAATATTGGGGTGTATTGTTATATGGGGTGTAAATTAAAAAGGGAATCAATATCGAAAATTTTTTGTATGAAGAATTGTTAGCCCATGAGAATCCAAAATATTCGGAGATATGGGGTCTACCCTAAATCGTGTATCCTTCCTGATAATTTTTTGGAGGAAGGAAGATTTACTAAGCAAGGAGTATTTTGGGTTCTCCTTGGTTAGTAAATCTTTCTTCCAAATTACAACCAAATCGGTTGGTAATGTGTCCAAAACTCTCTAAGACTTACAAATTTTGGAGGTAAGCTCTATGGGAGCTAAAACGAAACGTAGGCCAATATCGTTTTCGTAGAGAGATTCCATACTAAATGAGTACCTAAATTATCAAACTAAAGCTTATTTACTTGCTCAATGTCGAATAATGAAGGGTGCTGTTATATGGAGGCTACCACGAAATTTGTGTCAATTTGTTTGAAAAATGTGTCCAATCTCCAAACAAATATGGAATATTAGGGTGTAACCTTCTATGAAGAATATACCAAAAAACCCGGGAACGCTATATTTTTAAAACTCTATCATATATCTATCATATATAAATATTTTGACCTCTAACGTGATTTCAAGAGACTGAAAAGGTTGACGTGACTAAATCGGCATTAAATTAGATTCAAGAATATACGCTTTTTATTTGGTCTTCGGTGAATATTTCGAGATGTTGCAAACGAAATGGCAATTTGATATGTTTCGCGTCAAACAATTATTTTTTGAATCCACATCTTGGTTAGAATTAGGATATTTAACGTATAGAGAGACATCTTTTCAATGGGTACATTAGGGCGTATGAATGTTGTCAATACGTATACGACAATGGGTCACAATCAGTATAATCATGAAGAAATGTTTTTTTTTTAATTCTAGCCTAGATAAAAAAAATATTTGTTTAACAGAATCAGGTATTTTCTAGCATCATTGCTACATTGAAAACTTGTTTTAAAAAACCAGACCTTCAAAATGTGCAGGTATTTAGATTTATTTGTAAAAAAAAATGTTTTAAAAAGATTTTGTTGGTACCTTCAAATAATATTTGTTTAATTCTACGCCTAGTGTTCGAAGTATAAAACAATATCTAAGAAATTATCGCCGGGCCAGGCAGAGGAACATTTTTCCCAAGAGTACAATGTGGCGTATAAGTAGTGATAATATTCATACGCTTAGTTGGCCATATGAGTTAGCTCGTATATAGCGTATATTTATCAAAAGTAGTAATACGCCACCAAATTAATTCCAATTAAATTCACAATTATTCCTAATTTGTATAGAAAAAAAATCGTCTAACCCCAAAAATATGAAGAATTTTTCTTTTTGCCCAGGGAACAATGTGGCGTCTACGTATCGATGACGAATAATAATCAGCAGTACTTATACCTCTCCAATGAACTCCAATTAAATTCTTAATTATTTCAAATTTGTAAAAAATTGTTTGGGCAGTTACATAAAGTATATTTTTCTATAGAAAAATTCGTTTGGACCGACAGAGGAGCACCCCTTTTGTGAAAGAAAAAAAATCTTCTGGACCCCAGAATTACAAAGACTTTTTTCCCCCAGAAGACTATGTGGCGTATAACTAGTGATAATATTCATACGCTTTGTTGGCCTCTGATACACATGAGATTATTAAGGTAGGGCAACAATTCCGGAGACCCATATTTATTAAAATCTATTTTTTCGCGAGAAACATTTATGTGACATACGGTCGTATACGTGTTGACTATTTATACGCCCAAAATACTTCAAAACACCCCATAACGAACTATATTTTTCATCAGAATAAATTTTTAAGTCGATTAACCTTCGTCCTGCTGATGAAATCATAATTTCTTAGATATTGTTTTATACATCGAACACTAGGCGTAGAATTAAACAAATATTCGTAATTTTGGGGTCCAGGCGAATTTTTTCTCTGAGCAAAAATACTTTATCTGGTTGGCCAGAATAATTCTTTTCTACGTGGAAAATACTCCTCTAGCGGTCCATACAAATTTGTCTTCCTCTGGGCGGTCCAAACGATTTCTTTAGACAAATCTAGAATAATGTATGGGTGGCGTATGAGTACTGTTATTTATTATACGCCTTAATACCTATCTCATGTGTATCAGATGTCAACAAAGCGTATGCAAATTATTATTTCTTATACGCCACATTGTTCTCTGGGCAAAAAGAAAAATTCTTCATAGCTCTGAGGTCAGACAATTTTTTTTCTAAAGTAAAAAATCTTCCTTCTGTTGTAGGAAAAAATGTTCCTCTGCCTGGCCCGGCGATTTTTTATATAATGATAAAAAGTCATCCACTGGGCCGTTCAGACAATTTTTTCTTTAGAAAAAAATGACTGGCCTTCCTCGAACTTGCCAAAGACAATGAGACATCCTCTGACGGCGGTCCAGACAATTTTCATAAATTATTTTATAAATCCACGGGAGGTCATAATGCAGCATTTATTTAAACACGTGGGTGCGTATGACTACTGTCTCCAAGTATACGCAATCGTGAACTATTAAAAAAAACAGGCCCAAAATTAATCAGAAAATTAATTAATCAGATTTTCTATGGAAAAATATTTCTTCTGGCAGTCCAGACAAATTTTTGATTTTACAAAAAAGTCTTCATCTGGCTTGTCTCGGCCGCCACATTGTCCTCTGAGCAGAAGGAAAAAAGTCTTCGAAGTTTTGAGGTCCACACGATTTTTGTCTCTGTAGAAAAAAAATGTTTCTCTGGTAGGTACAGACAAATAGTTTGTATAAGAAAAAAATGTTCCTTTGAGTTTTCCACCCGAATTTCAAAAAAGTATTTCAGAACTTCTACAGGTATACGAATAATTGTACTATAGGAAAAGAGACATCGGTGCTCTGGCTGGTCCAACATGTATACTGTGTTCACGAAAAAAAAAAAATCTGGGAAATTAAAAAAAAAAAAAAATTGCCCTCTGAGCAGAAGGAAAAAAGTTTTCTGACGTTTTTGCAGACAAATTCCAAAAAAGTATTTTAAAAAATCTACTGGAGATCCTAATTTAGCATATATTTAAGCACGTGGGTGCGTATGACTACTGCCAATATGTATACGAAAACTATTTTAAACTACAGCAGGAAAAAATTTAAAAAAATAGGCCCAGAATTAATCAAATTAAATTATGATTTTGTTTTATAGAAAAATTATCTCCTCCGACAGTCCAGAAAAATTTTGAAAAAAATTTTTGACTTTTAAAAAAAATTTCCTCCTCTAGGTGTTGTCCTCTGACCAAAAGGAAACAAGTCTTCGAAGTTTTGTGGTGCACACGATTTTTGTCTCTGTAGACATAATTTGTTTTCTCCGGGAGGTCCAGACGATTTTGTTTTATAAGAAAAAAATCCTCCTCTACAATCCTCCTAAACATCTACATGAGGTTCTTATTCGACAGTATGACCACTGTCAACATGTATACGCAATCACGAACTAGAATAGAATCTGGGAAATAAAAACAAAACTCAAAAATGACTGCACTGGAGATATTTAAAAAAAAAAGATCCAGAGGCCACCCAGAAAGAAAAATATATTTTTAAAGCCGACCTAGAGGACTTTTTTTTGAAAATTTTTCCTTCTGGCTGGCCAGACGTATTGTTTCTCTAGAAAAAAGTCTTCCTCGGTCGTCGTCTGACAATGCAGACCTGTGTTTTTCCTATAAGAAAAAAGTCCTTCTTTGGGAGATCTAGGTGAATTTTGAAAAATATGTAAAAAATCCACCAGAGGTTCTACTTAAGCATCATTTACTTAAGCACATTGGTGCGTATGACTACTGTCAAAATGTATACGCAACCACGAACTATCATCAAATGGGGGAAATTAAAAATATATTCTGAAACTACAACGCTTTTGTTTAGTATTTAAAAATATTTAAAAAAAAGTATTTAAAAATATTTAAAACAAATCAAATATTTTACAAAATCCCCCCCTTTTGAGTATTGAGATCTTCGATACCATCCCTTTATAAATTTTGCCAAGAAAATTGATGAAAATCAATAACATAGTTTAGTATTAAATATGTTCACACCTAGAAACTCCCCTAACCCTCCTCTGGCCACCCTCAAACCCCCTTAAGCATTTTGAATGGAAATCCAAACACCATTTTCAATATCCCTTCTGCTACAGCTTTAGTTATTATTATTCCCCGGATAAATTTAGCCATTCCATTGATGGTTCTGGTTGTGGAAAACAGAGGAAACGTGTCATTCCGCTAACCACAAAAGAAATGATTTAGTTTAGTATTTTCTAGTTCCACTACTACTTCTACGAACTCTCGTCTATCCCTTCCCACACTGCAGCAAAATTTGTTAGAATATTTCACTTCATTAGACAGACTGACAGACAGACAACTGCTACCCGGTCGGGGTATATTAAAACTAATAACATTTTCATAACCATTCACAAGCTGGCTATTGAATGTTGAATGGCAGTGTCCTGGCAAAGGAGGAACTGAGGACCTGTAGCACACACAGGAACACTCGAACATGCTACGTTAAATGCCATCCGTACAGGTCCTCAAGTGACCTATCCTCTTCGTGTTAGTTTTTTTCTTTGTGAGCTGTCCCATCACGTTCTTCTCAATTCATTGTTGTTGTTGTTGCTGTTGGATTTTTCATGTTTCCTGTTGTATTTTCTTTCATTGCTTCTTCTTCTATTCACTTTGCTTCTTTTTCTTCCCATTTTTTTTTTATTATTTATGAACATTTCCGTTGTGGAATTGGCTTTAACCAATACCCATGAACCAACCGAACCAACCAATGTGGATTGTGGTGTGCTATGGTTTGCTGATTATCAACAACAACAATAACAAAACCAACTACAACAACTCGACTACAACTCGGTGTCCATGGTGTGCCTGATCCCGCAGTATGTTTCAATCTTGCGACCACCAGTCGAACAGACAGGTGGCGAAGGTATCGATAAAGTTGAATGGAAACAGGTGAGTCGTATTTTCTTGTTATTATTGTTGTTGTATATCTTTGTATAATTTATTTATAGCAAATAATCTTAATTACAACAACAACAAAGCGATAACGAAAATGGTTGTTGTTATCGGCGATTGAAAAGTTAAAAGAAATTTTATGGGGAGATATTAAATTTCCATTTAAAAAATTAGGGCATTTAAAGTAAGGAAGGGGATATTTTAAAGAAGGCCATTGGGGCGTATGACTAGTATCAGCACTTATACGTCACGGTGTCTTAAAATATTTTTTAATAAATCCACGCCTTATGTAGGACCCTAAAATTATTTTTTAATAAATCCACGCCTTATCTGGGACCCTAAAATTATTTTTTAATAAATCCACGCCTTATCTGGGACCCTAAAATTATTTTTTAATAAATCCACGCCTTATGCAGGACCCTAAAATTATTTTTTAATAAATCCACGCCTTATGCAGGACCCTAAAATTATTTTTTAATAAATCCACGCCTTATGCAGGACCCTAAAATTATTTTTTAATAAATCCACGCCTTATGCAGGACCCTAAAATTATTTTTTAATAAATCCACGCCTTATGCAGGACCCTAAAATTATTTTTTAATAAATCCACGCCTTATGTAGGACCCTAAAATTATTTTTTAATAAATCCACGCCTTATGTAGGACCCTAAAATTATTTTTTAATAAATCCACGCCTTATGTAGGACCCTAAAATTATTTTTTAATAAATCCACGCCTTATGTAGGACCCTAAAATTATTTTTTAATAAATCCACGCCTTATGTAGGACCCTAAAATTATTTTTTAATAAATCCGCGCCTTAGGTACGACCTTAAAAATATTTTTTAATAAATCCACGCCCTAAAAATATTTTTTAATAAATCCACGCCTTAGGTACGACCTTAAAAATATTTTTTAATAAACCTACGCCCTATGTATGACCTTAAAAACATTTTTTAATAAATCCACGCCTTATGTAGGTGGCGAAAAATATTTTTTAATAAATCCAGGCCTTATATAGGTGGCGAAAAACATGTTTTAATAAATCCATGCTTTATTTATAGGTCCACGGAAATATTTTTAAATAAATCCACGCCTTGGAAAATATTCTTCACAAAAATATCCAATTATCTCTTAGTACACTGATGCGTATGATTGGTGTCACAACGCATACGCCACCATGGTGTTTAATATTTTTTGTTTCTCTAATACCCTTCACCCATAATTATACCCTTCACCGCACTGTGGTACAGGGTATTATGTCTTTGTGGATATGTTTGTAACAGGAAACGAGATAGACACATGGTTCCTTTTGAGAATATGCGTAGAATCACTTTCTAAGTCGATTTATGCATGTCCGCCCGTCCGTCTGTCTGACTGTCCATGTTAAATTGTAAACAAAGTACAGGTCGCATTTATGATCTGAATTGGATGAAATTTGGCATAGGTCAGTTTTTTGGCCCAAGGACGAATCCTATTTGGAAAAATCGGTTCAGATTTAGATATAGCTTCCATATATAGTTTCGACCGATTAAATGTAAACGGTCCCTATATATCTTTTGATTTGCACGAAATTTGGCATAGCGTACCTAATTAAGTTTAGAAAGATGTGTGTCAAGTTTCCTGAAAATCGGTTCAGATTTGGATATAGCTCCCATATATATTTTCCTCCGATTTAACGTAAATGGTGCACCAAAGTCCCTATATATCTTTCGATTTGCACGAAATTTTGCATGCGGTACTGCCTTAAGACTAGAATGATGTATGTTAAGTTTCGTGAAAATCGATGCAGATTTAGATATAGCTCCCATATATATTTTCGTCCGATTTAATGTAAATGGTGCACCAAAGTCTGTATATATCTTTCGATTTGCACGAAATTTGGCATAGCGTACTGAATTAGGCCCAGAATGATATGTGGTAAATTTCGTGAAAATCGATTCAGATTTCGATATAGCTGCCATATATATTTTCCTCCGATTTAATGTAAATGTTGCACCAAAGTCCCTATATATCCTTCGATTTGCACGAAATTTGGCATAGCGTACTGAATTAAGTGTAGAATGATGTGTTTTAAATTTCCTGAAAATCGGTTCAGATTTCGATATAGCTCCCATATATATTTTCGTCCGATTTTATGTAAATGGTGCACCAAAGTCCTTCGATTTGCACGAAATTTGGCATAGCGTAATGAATAAGGTCTAAAATAATGTGTGTAAAGTTTCTTTCGATTTGAAAATCGCGTTCAGATGAAAATTCGATTTATATATAGCTCCCATATATATTTTCGTCCGATTTAAGGTAAATGTTGTACCAAAGTCCCCATATATCTTTCGATTTGTACGAAATTTGGCACAGCCTAATGATTTAGGTTTAGAATGATGTGTGTTAAGTTTCCTGAATATCGGTCCAGATTTAGATATAGGTTCCATATATAGTTTCGCCCGATTTTAGGTAAATGTTGCACCAAAGTCCCTGAAAATCATTCGATTTGCATGAAATTTGGCATAGCGTACTGAATTAGGTCTAGAAAGATGTGTTTTAAATTTTGTGAAAATTGGTTCAGATTTAGATATAGCTCCCATATATATTTTCTTCCGATTTTAGGTAATTGTTGGACCAACGTCCTTATATATCCTTCGATTTGCACGAAATTTGGCATAGCGAACTGAATTAAGTCTCGAATGATGTGTGTTAGGTTTCACGAAAATCGGGCCAGATTTAGATATAGCTCTCATAGATATTTTCGTCCGATTTAATGTAAATGGTGCACCAAAGTCCCTATAGATCCTTCGATTTGCACGAAATTTGCATAGCACAGCTAGAATGATGTGTGTTAAACTGAAAATCGATATAGCTCCCATTTAAATTTTTGTCCGATTTAATGTGAATGGTGCACCAAAGTCCCTATATATATTTCGATTTGCACGAAATTTGGCGTAGCGTACTGAATTGAGTTTAAAATGTGTGTTAAGTTTCCAGAAAATCGGTCCAGTTTTAGATATAGCTCCTATATATATTTTCGACCGATTTAAGGTATATGGTGCACCAAAGACCCTATATATATATATCTTTCGATTGGCACGATATTTGGCATAGCGTACTGAATTAGGTCTAGAATGTTGTGTGTTAAATTTCGTAAAAATCGATTTATCGATTTAGATTTAATATTCTTCACAAAAATACCCAATTATCTCTTGGTACACGGATGCGTATGATTGGTGTCACAACGTATACGCACCATGGTGCTCAATATTTAGTTTTCTTTAATTTTTAAATGGAAATTTGGAATATTTAGGGATCTGTTACCGAAATATTAGAGATTTTACATTTATCTAACGACTGTGTCCTCTCAATATCCAAACCATTTCTATTGAATTATTTTTTTACTGGGCCCATAACACACATCCCACTTGCCATTTATTTACATCATTTTTATACATGTCCATCAATGTTTAAATCTAGTTTTGGAATATCAATGTTGGACAAACAGCATTTTGTATATTGTGAGCTCTTCCGAAAAACCAGCAGCGCTGGCTAACCCAGTTTTCCAATATGCCATAAATTTAACGACCATCCAAACCTCAGCCACAAAATATTCAAAAAATAAACACCACAGCCATGCGATATAAAAATTCATGGATAACAACGGCACCCCAAAACAAAAATAACGTGATGAAAATAAATATGAAAAATCCGCAGTAGGATGTAGGTAAACAATCAACTAAAATATATAAATTCGGAAAATGTATATTTATGTATGTATATTGGTCAGTAGTAACACCATACCAAAATTAAAGGATGTTAAGGACATTCACATATGATGGTCATAGGGTAGGTTGAATGGTAGGTTTGAGGAGGAGAAGATCACTAATCACTAGCTTGATGGGCATATGGTCGGTCGTGAGTAACACACATGACCTGAAATAAATTTTGTGGCAGTCATGTCGACAAAAAGGGTGGTGGTATAAATTTCAGGAAGAACAAAATATATTAATTTAGTCGAGTCTTTAAAAATCCACGCCTCAGGAAAAATTTGTCTTTAAATATCCAAGCCTTATGGTGGCCTCATGGCGTATACGTGCTATCTAATACTAATATGTTAATAGACCTCAGAGCGTATAAGTGGTGACAACACTTATACGCAACTGGGCTAAAGTAGTATTTTTGCTTTTGTTTGTTAAAGTGGAATGAAATTGGAATCAGGAGGTATGAAAAAAATGTCCCTACTTTACTTAGCTGGCTTGTGACAGAACTTTCGTTCCACAAGCTGGGCTTAGAAAAGATTTCCAGACGCGTCGGTCTTTTGCGCGCAGTTTTACCAATTTGAAAGACCATTTTCGGCGATGTTCGACTTCGACTTGATCTTTCCAATGTATTTTTGGCCTTCCCCTTCTGCGTGAACCGCTTATATGCCTTCTGGGCTTCTGGGGCATCTTCTTCCATTCTCACAACAACATGACCATGAGCCAACGTAGTTGCTGCAGTCGCTCAATACGTTTAACAATGTCGATGTTCGAGAATAGCTGGTAAAACTCATGGTTCACTTGACGGCGGCGATATTCACCGTCAACGCAAATCGGCCCATAGATCTTCCGGAGAATTTTTCTCTCAAAAACCCTCCAAGAGCTGCCTCATCTGCTTGCGTAAGTATCCATGCTTTAGATCCATAAAACAGCATGGGTAGTATGAGCGTCTTGTAGAGTGTGAGTTTGGTCTGGCGGGAGGTGGTCTCGTTTCTAAACTGCTTACTTAGACCATAGTAGCATCGATTGGCCATCACTATCCTTCTCCGAATTTCAAAATTGATGTCATTCGTTTTATTTATGGCGGTACGAAGGTATAGAAAAATCTTTAACTACCTCGAAGCTGTAGTTCTTAAGTTCCACAGTTGGTCCGCGTCTACTGGATGCCATGCGCGTTGATACCATCAGCTTGGTCTTCTCGCCGTTTACTGCCAGACTGCCACTTTGGCAGACTCCTTCTCAATCTGTTAAAA